TCGCAAACATATGTTCACTGAAATATATTTTTTTAATATAGAGAAAATGTATAAAACTGCATGGAGTTGATCAAAATGTTCAAAACAAATTTGAATTTGTGATCATTCAATATTCTATAATTCATAAAAAATTTTTTTTTACATATGCATTATAGTTCTTTAAAATATGTATGTGTAGTATACATACAGTACTTCTAATATACCTAAAAAAAATACGCAAAAAAGCAGAATGCAGAAATCTCATCAAGCACCCCTAGTGTTCAAACTACGAATTACTCATGGCAGTCACTAAACTTCTGGAAAAAGAATAACATCTTGAATTATTTTCATTAAGGTCATTGCTTAGATTGTATTAGTTTATTATTTTCTACTACCTGTAGTTGTTTAGTGAGAGCACATGGCGACAAGAAAGAGATGCGATCTGGGAGAAGAAAGAGAACAAGGCTGATTCTGCCAAACACATGGAGCAGAAGATCATGGAATGGGCTAAAGAGCTACAAACTGTGTCAGAGGTGAGATCAGCATGTTTGACCCCATGAGACATATGTGATAATGTAAAAATGTATGTACAGTATTTTTTGTACATGTATATTATACCTGTGTGCAGTGCTGTGGTGTGATGAGGCACGAATTAGCCCAGTTTCTGAAGCAGCTGGAACTGAAGAAGAGGAAAATATTGACTCTATTGCCTTTTCTGGAATTCATAACTTGGTCTCTACTGAAGCAGGACAGCCAGGTACAAGTTTAGATAAGAGACCAATAAACTAAAATAAATAAAATAAAACCAATAAAAGAGACCAATAAAACTTTTTTACAAACATCTAACAAGAGTCCATAGTTTGCAACCATATACTGAATCAACGGACAATTTAAACAGTATCAGGAGATACTTTTATCACTGCTTATGTAAACAGTTTGGCACAGTTTACAGATCATCACCATGCCCAAAGAAGCGTATTCTTATCCTGCTTTGCGGTATTTATTCTGTAAAAATGCATTTGTGCTTTGGTTATTTGTGTTTTCGAACATCCTAGACCTTTATGGCAGTTTGCTGTCTCCTTTTCAAGAAAGAGATTCTGTTCTAGAGAGATTCAGTTTCAGAGATTTCAGGTTCAGTTACAGAGATTCATATATATTTGTATATAACACACACACACACACACACACACACACACACACACACACACACACAAAAATAATATAAGCAGTATATTTAGATGTATTATATTTATAATGTATTTTTTAGGGTGTTGTTCCTCAGCTATGGCTCCTAAGCAAACATCATACCTGGAAAACAGGTAATTTTTATTTATTTTTTACTTAGACACGTCAATAGATTGAAATACAGATTTGGCAATTTACATTAAATTCCTTTTAGGAAAAAAGTTATAATTTAGTGATTAAATGATATTGACTCTTCTATATTCTATAATATACTTATTATTTATACAGTACAATTCAATGTTTAATTGTTTTGACAGAGACACCAAAGTACATTCCAAACTCAGGTACAGATTTATGTATTTATTATGCATTATCTTGTTCAGCACACAATTTAATGTGGCAAGCATCTAACATGTCATTACTTTAATCATCACTGTGGTAGTAATGTTTATCACTGTTTTCCATAGTGTGGAGATGGATCTGCAGTGCTTCAGGTATCCCTGATTCAGACCTTTATGATTCATCTGCCAATGAAAAATAGTTTGGGCTTAAAGGGATAGTTCACTTTGAAATTAACTTTTGGTATGTTTTAGCTTACCTCAAGGGCATCCAAGATGTAGGTGTCTTTTTTTTTTTTTTTTTATATATATATTTTATTGATTTGACACAAACAATAAACAAACAAGCCCAGCTATTACCAACATACAAAACGGGAAAAAAAAATTCACACACAAATTGCACATCACATGTTGATGTAGGTGTCTTTGTTTCCGCAGTAGTTTAAATTTTGGTATTTTTAGGTCAAACCGTTCTTGTCTGTCAGTGATATAATGCAGGTCTTTGGTCACCACCTCAAAGAGCATGCACAGAGAAGTCCAAATTAAACATGATTTAATGACTCAAATGTAAGTACACATTGATGGCCTAAGACACGAAACGAGCGGTTCAACCACAGCCACGTCCAAGTGATCTGAGGGCGCGGGCACTTCGGTCTGCGCAAGCGCTGGAAGTGATCTCTCGCGCGGTTGCGGAAAGAATTCAACGTTGACTGTTGATATATCGAAATCGTCTTCCATTTCGATTTCCTGTATATCTAAATATGTTTAGATCTTCACAGTGAAAGGTAACACTTCCGAAATCTCTGTGTAAACAATGAGTGACGTACACGCGCGAGAGATCACTTCCGGCGCTTGCGCAGACCGAAGCGCCCGCGCCCTCAGATCACTTGGACGTGGCTGTGTTTACAAGCGGTAAAAACGATATAAATACTGTTCGGTTTCTCACACAAACCGCTCGTTTCGTGTCTTAGGCCATCAATGTGTAGTTACATTTATGAGTCATTAAATCATGTTTAATTTGGACTTCTATGTGCATGCTCTTTGAGGTGGTGACCATAGACCTGCATTATATCACTGACAGACAAGAACGGTTTGACCTAAAAATAGGTCAAAATTGAAACTACTGCGGAAACAAAGACACCTACATCTTGGATGCCATTGAGGTAAGCTAAAACATACCAAAAATTAATTTCAAAGTGAACTATACTACTTTATCATATCCTCTGTTTAGTGGACATCACACTGGACCCCATGACTAACCACCCATGGTTACAGCTCTCAGATGACAAAAAGAAGGTACAGGAAGCTCTGAGTGAAACCGAAGTGTCATTCAGTACCCAACGCTTTGACAGCTGGCCGTGCGTTCTGGGCCGGGAAGGGCTTACTTCCGGTCGGTACTATTGGGAAGTTGATATTGCCAACAAAGGCTACTGGCGTATCGGAGTGAGCACTTCCTCCTCCAAAAGGCAAGGCCGATGTCCCATGAACCCCTGTGAGGGCTTCTGGACTATATGGAGAAGCACACGGCAGTTTTATGCATGCACCAAGCCGGAGACTGAGCTACCTCTTACACTTGTTCCCAGAAAGGTGGGAATCTACTTGGATTATGAGGAAGGGCAGCTGTCTTTCTACAATGCAGAGACACGCTCACATATCTTCACATTTACTGCAAATTTCAGAGAAACGTTGTACCCACTTTTCGCACCACTGGATGGACGTACGCTTATCACACTGTCCTCCACAGTCAATTCAGAAACATCCTCTTTGGACGTCTCTATAGATCTACAGTCGTTGTAACATGACAAATGTCCTTATAGGGCTAATGAGGGCAGCAGGTGGGACTTGCATACAAATACAGCTGCCAGTCATCGGGATCCAAGCAGATGATCATCTGTCAGATCTAAAGGATGAGATCCCGTGAAGTAGTTTTGGTTGTAATGGTGCGTTCACATGCTATGGAAAATATTATATTTTCCACTTGTGAACTGGTATTTACCAGTGTGTTGCGTTCAAGTGCTTTTGTTGTCGTAATGTGGTAAATAGATGGAGATCCAGACCTGTTATTTAGCTAAAAATATTTTAGATTGCTTAAGTCATCTGCTAAAGCAAGAAAATGATTCATCAAAACTCAAACAGTAAATAATATGCTGTATATTTTCTAGATCATGAATAGTACATATTTTTACGATTCACGACTCTCGCGTTGCTCTCCGCCATTTTGAAAAGGTCAAAGGTTATCTCATCTCGGCAACTCGTGCATCAAAATATTCTACGAGCTGCCCAGTGGAAAATGCCACACGAGGGGCATTTTCCACGTCGGCTTTTGGTATTTACCATAATTACCATAGCACGTGAACGCACCATAAATTTCAACTTTAGCACAGATGCAAAGTTATGAGGATTTTCTTAACGGAAAATTATGAAATTATGATTGTTCTGCTGTCTATATGTACATAGTTTAGTGAAGTTTGAACGTTGTGCTCACAAGTCAGTTAGTCCTTATGAAGCACACCGGACAATCATTTGATGAATCAAAATGCCTTGTCATTTTTGGTAGGTTTGCCTCTGAGTGATATGTGCCATTTCATCCGAATCAAAAATAGTAGTACAATTAAAAAAAAAGTATGATTTTTTTATTATTTATAATTCATAAAAAACATTTAATTCTAGCTCACAATTCTTATATTATAAACAATCATGTACATTTGCTTAATATAGCACCACTTAAGAGTGTACACTTGGATAGTGGGTGGGATTGGGAACCAATCTATTAAATTGGGGGTTTTTGTGAATCCAATATGATTCACTGCCTGGAATGCCAACAATGAATACTTTGAGACTCATTAAAATAGAATTCAAAGCACACAATGAGATTGTCTACAAGCTCCAAATTGGCAGTTCTAACCCCTAACACAATGTTATGTAATTGTGTTGCATGTTTTATTATGAATCTTACATGCATGCAATTTTTTGTAACTTATTTAAAACTGCATAAACGTAAATGTTCTACCAAAAAAGAAATCAAGACACAATACATTTTTTAAAAAGCGTGTATTTAAAAAAAAAAACATCCCCAGATACAAATAAATGCACGTGTATATGTATAAAGGCAACTATGCGTGTACAATAACATAAAAGGGAAAAAAAAAACAGCATAAAAATCTATAGTAAATTCAGTATAAAGTTTTATCAAGATTACCAGGAGGGACTCAAACATGCCCTGAGTATTAGCTCATATTTAGGCATTTAACCCATAACCACTTACACAACACATCAACGGTTATTTCAAGGTAAATCTGACTGGCCAGTTATGAGTTTTTATCTTTGCCATATTACTTAAAACAACAAATAACAGGAGTAAATCAAGAAGTAGTTCAAATGGCAGTATATGGTTGCACAAAATCTTCAGACCATAATCAAAGATGGTGTATTCTTTCATACATTAAGATGAAAAAAATATGAACTTAATAAAAAGGATTCCAAATACAAAATACAGTGTTGCTTTTTTGTTATTTTTATTACAGATTTTGGCTTGTAACCAGTGCTGCTCATTTCATCTATTATTCATACTCTTTTCTTAGAAAAAGCTGGTTACAAAATACAACAGGTTACAAAATACTGGTATAACGAAATTTGGCCATCTAGTAATTCAGAGACAAACTCCTTTACAACCTAACCAGATTGCAGAAACTACGAGTTAGCAGGCAAGTGACCTGCACTGGCCCACAACAGGAAAAAAAATCCTACACATAGTTAAGCCTCATTGCTTGACATTCATTTAGCAGGTCTGCAAAATGATGGGCCAGTATTGCTTCTCTAGTGCTGATAGAGCACAACACACCCTACAGTACCCAGCTGATACTAGCCTTACTCATACAGAACTTTTCTGGATCAGCTGACTTACACATGTCCCCGTGGAGTAAACAAGATGAAATATGACATACAGGACTGAGGGATCACATGGGTCTGCAATTCAACAAATGCTCCATCTATGACAAGCTGTTTTGGTCAAATAAAGGCTTAACAAAGGCAGGAAAAACCCAAAACTCTCCCTTTCTTTTTCTTTCAGCATCCCGCCATCTTAATCAGAATCGCTTTTTTCATCCTTTACCATCAGTTTTTTCCCTCTTTTGGGCTCAGGTGTTTGGCCATCTTTTTCTTTCTTGGTTTTGGACAAGCTGAATTCAAAATTAAAAGAATGTTATGGATGTATAAGTGTTGAATGAGTTCTCTGTTGACAGTCATTGTGTAAATGCTGTAAAAGTAGATTACAAGACAGAAAAAGATGCAGTTGTGAAATAACACTTACATTTTCTGCCGATACTTGTCTACGTCACATGGAGGCACGACGTCGGTGAGTTCCAACCCATCGTTAATCTTTTTTAACATTTCGAATCTCTCCTTACCCCGCACCTGTGTGAAGAGGTCATGCATGCAAATAAACCACAACGGTTTTGTTAAAAGTCTTATCCTACAATATTTGTAATACACAATGCCAAGTTTTAAGTATAAGCTGGATTAGTGCAAACTAGGTAAGGCATGGCAAGTTTATTTATAAAGCACATTTAAAACAGTGATAATTCAAAGTGCTTTACATAAATATTTTTTTATTTTAATTTGGAATAAAAAAAGAAGCTAAAAATAAAGAAAGAAAAGAGTCTAGAGAAGAGAGAATTTATATAACTATATATATATATAAAATAATCATAGTCAGTGCCTTAAGCAAAGCACATTTTAAATAAAACTTAATGTAACACCTACTCTAAGTGGGTGATTATAGCTTAATGTTAATCGCACCAGTCACTTTTTGTGACTGCAACCTATAAAAAAAAAAACTTTATTGTAAGCTTTTTGTTAGTGAATAACACAGACTTTTGAGATGAAGTCAAAATAAACATTTGGTTAATTCCAGGGTATATGCAGACAATTCCAAATGTAAGACTTTTAAAGACCTTTTAAGATCTGCACAAATTAAATTAATACCGTAAATGTTAATGTCAGAAAAAAAAACATACAACCTCATAAATCATATATCTCAGATTCTGCAGGCTGCAGTACAGGACTTAATACTGCTTAACAGCAAAACAGGTTTAAAATACTCAAGACAAGTTTTATTCAATATATACATATTGGATTGTGTACTAATATAACAATACATACAAATTAGAAGTCAACCAATACTGTAACAGGGTTCCTGCACACTTTTGAAAGTCAAATTTAAGGCTTTTTAAAACCTTTTTAAGACCTTAAGAAATCAAAATTAATACCGTACATTAGGGCTCTGCAGTATTGACAAATATATCTTGATATTTTCAACGTTTTGTTGATAATAATTAGATGATATTTTACTGATTGTGTTTTTGTGCTGGTGCCTTGCTGACTCACGAAGATATTCATATTTTTCATATTCTATGCAGTGGTCGGTTCACAGCAGTGACAGAAATTAATATTTTGATTAAGGGGCAATATTTGCCACCTTAAATTGATTTTTTCAGGGGCATTTTCACCTATATATGGACATTTTTTCTAAACTTATTTATTAGTTATGCATCACCTTTAAAGTCCCTGTAAAGTCAAAATTAAGTATGTGTTTTGAGTTTGTCACACCACAGAAAAATGTGTTATTAGTCACCCAGCCAAATTTGAATGATAAAAAAAACCAGCAAGTACATAAAATAAGCTATCAAAATCTTGAAAAAATGAGCAGTAATCTCTGCTCTCAAACGCTGGGGGCGTGTCCACTGGCTGCGCTGAAACCACGCCCACTCGCGGGAAAGCTGCCGTCGTCGACTCGCCTCACTCAACTCTACAGCCGGAATGGATGCTCGCACGGTGGGCACGCACTGCCGAATGGCACCAGTTGTCGGCGCGACGGGAGGATGAAGGCTGTGGCGGGAGTGTCTGTTCGGCCCCATTCACCAGTAACAGCGGATTATCAGTGAATCCCAGACAGTTATCTCCGACGAAAGTTTATAAAACTATCCAGTTTAAAATGATCACTTACAGAGGTGGGTTTTGGCGGTGATCCTCAGCTCTCCATCAAGGTGGCTCTTCACAAAATTAATCCACTTCTTCTTGATGTAATCGTTTTTCGGAAATTTAAACAAGGACACCGATCTGTTTTGTACGTGATCCGGTGATCGCATCCAGGTAGTACGCATTTCCGTGACGAAGGCATAGCTAGTAGCTAGCAATCTGTAGGCTGTGTTACTAATAATAGTACTGACAGTAACTCGCGATTGAGCGGCAAACTAATGTGAATGTGCTCTATAATATTGTTAGGAACGGCCAGCCTCAGTGGCCTCAGAGCGTCATCAAGTAGGGGCGTGTCCAGGAGCTCAAGGGCTCCAGTGCGTCATCGAGCCCTGTTTTAGCCCCGCCCAGAAAATCCGTAAAATATCAATGGTGAAAAACTGTTTAACGATCTAACTCCACAATTCAGTACTTCACAGTTCACAGTCTTTGTAATATGTTTTAGCAATACATTTCTAACATTTATAATGTGTTTAGAATTTTTTTTTGAAATTGCCTTTACAGGGACTTTAATGTCAAATACTATCATTCAAATTAAATTATACAGTAATTATACAATAATACTTAATTATATAATAATCATACAGTACCACTGTTACCAGTCAAATTAAATCATTCAATCAAAATCCATCTTTGCAGTGCAGAGGTGACAGAAGCAGCATCAGAAGTGGCATTAATATATTTACACTCCATTTACAACTGCATAAATAAAGCTATGAGATATATATTTTTAAATCAATATTCAATATTTAAATATGAAATGATTTCTAATTTTAACATTTTATTTAAAGGGTACTTTAAATATGAAACCGCAGCGGCAAATCACTGTCTTAATAAGTGAGTTGAGGGAGTCGATTCGTTCAAACGGCTGATTCATTCGGGAAAGCAGCAAGTGATTCGTTCAAAACGCGGATTTCAGTCAAGAAATCATCGCTGTCGGTTGCATTGAGACTCTGCTACGGTTTCATTTTGAAATTATAGTCGGCGAAATAAAGGGAAAACAAACAATATTAACAATATTGTGTCTAAAAAGTAGTTTCAATGTTAACTTATTGTTAATTTAACAGTTGTATAACAAATATCACACTTGGAATCGTGCACGGGAAAAACGGCACTCTTTCTGAGGTGATATTCTGATATAAGAACATAATATGATATAAATATAAGACAAAAATTAATTTGGGGACATAACAGTTACACTGCACACATCACGCAGTGAAAGCACGAGACAAATGCGATGTCAGCTCGCAGTGCCTCGTACATTGTTAAAACAATGATTACAATATCATAATAGACAATACACATCGCACACCATACGCACATAAAGAATGAACTTACAACTGAACTGACATTTACGACCTTTCTTCTCTTTCTCTCCTCTCGCGTGCAGGAGACAGTTATGCTGCCGCGACTCGCGAGTGACGCGAAATGTCACGTGAACTAGCAAATCCACAAAGATAGAATAAAAAAATAATAATACGTACGCTAATTAGATAGTTTTAATTTGGAAAGCTTTTAGATATGTCTAAGTGTCATCTAAAATTTAAGACCTTTCATAAGTAAAAATAAGACTTTATAAGACTTTTTATGGTTTTAAAAATCTAATTTAAGACTTTTTAAGACTTTTTAAGGATCCGCGTGAACCCTGTGTAAAATCTATATACTGAATGCGTTAAATAATGTTCTTAGTCTTTCCTTTCTGTGACCCAAAGGGTGGTCCCAAAGAGAAGCTACAAGAGTTTACATTGAATTAAATGGCAGATACAGTTTATTGTGTAAAAACACTAAAACCAGAAAGAAAGAAAGAAAGAAAGAAAGAAAGAAAGAAAGAAAGGAAGAAAGAAAGGTTAATTCAATCAATCAATGCCTTTTAAAATGTAATAATCAGTAATCACAAGAGACCACATTTCGATTCCTGTTTTTCCAGTTGTAAATTTAAAACCTCTTAAACTGATAATTAAGAATTGTGCTATACCATTTAAGATATTTAAACCTTTCTTATGACCTTAAATTTGATAAAACTGAATTTAAAGGCACAGTATGCAAGTTTCAGCGCTAGAGATCGCTTACTCAAAACAATAATGCGCAACTTGATGACGGAGAGAAATGATCGTGGAATCATGAGAGTTGTCGTCTTGACCTCCACAGCCGATGGAAAGTAATCCGACGGGACTCAGGCAGAAATCATGTTCATGGATGAGCTAAAAAACATTTTACGTTTTTATTATGCTTAAATGCCGCAGTCGGCTGCTGCCGCTCCTTTTGTTTTGTTTATTTATTATGATTAAAATTAAGTAACGTTCGCCTCCTTGTTCCCAGAACTTGAACTTTGTTAGTTACGTTTGATCACGTAAAATCACATTATCTTATTTCATTCTGATGAAACAGCCACAAGTGATGAATTACTACTCATACAGGTCACTTTATTTGACAAACTAAAATTGTGGGGTAACGCAGCACTGTTTTACTTCATCAAAACAATCATACTAAAAATACATTTGAGTGTTGAAAATTATGTTATTGTTTCTCTGCTATGTTAGCCACTTGACAAAATAATGTTGTCTGATTTACTTTTTGGGTACAAACATGTTACTCGCAGTAAATAAAGAAAACTAGATTTAAATAAGACTAAACGTGTATAGCTATACTGGCCTGTAACAATCGGCAGTTACAAGAGTAAAATTGGGGTCAGATTAAACTGTGTGAGGTTGAGAGGCAAAAGACCGTAACTCGCTAGAGTGTGGAACCGAGAAAAATTACTTTAAAGATTTTTAGTTGTTCTGCCAAACTAATTATAGGTAGGACACTGGAAATCTGGCAATTAGATGTTTTAGTAATGAAAATGATCTACATATTCGACCCAGGGACTGGTTTATAGCGGTGGTGGACGTGAAAGACACATACACTTTCACATTCAGATAGCCCCTCATCACAGGCACATCCTGAGATTCGCATTCGAAGGTGCTCCTCGTATGTTCACGAAAAGTATGAACACAGTGCTTTCCCCTTTGAGACTCAGTGGGGAGCACGTTCTGGACTACCTAGACAACTGATGCATTTATAGCACAACCTTCTGTGTTCTGCGACTTTTCAGTATGCGGGGGTTTCTGTCTGCCATATTATTGTGCTGGTGCACTTTGCTCATCCCGCGGATTTATTCCAGACGCTGTGATTGTCTGTATAACCTGCTTGTAACAGCTGGTCTGATGTTGTATGCACCAGTACACTTGTTGCTGCATTATGTTGTATGCACCAATACACTTGTTGCTTCATTATTATCACTCCCTGTGACATGTTAGTCCAGCGTTGGCTCGACCATGTTCAGGGCGGTGCTGAAGGCGCCGGCGCAGTTTTGGTACTCGTGAGGCGTGCCGTTAGTTCTTTGTTGTAATCACCTGCTAGGCATGAGTAACATTTTTCTGTCAACTCTGCATATATCCTTCACGATCGATATCGCACGTTTGTTGATTTTATTTATTTTATTTAAAAGGGACAATGCATATGAATGAACATAGTTTTTAGCAATGTACATATGCCAAAATTAGCCCCCAGGCTATTTTACATTTGTAGTCCCATGTGAGGTCATCAAACATTACCCAATAACACAGCTAAACATTTAATTTAAACATGAATCGACATTTAAAAAAAAAAAAAAAAAAAAAAAAAAAAAAAAAACGATTAACAACAACCTATACGAAATGACACAGATTGGTAAACAGGGCATCTACTATGGCATAATCATACATGACGGGCACATACAAAATACACATACATAGTAAAGTGCTACTTAAAGTGCATTAAGTGCTATATCAAATTCTTCAAGTGCTATTAGATGCTGCAAAATGCTAGATCTAGTTTGGTATACATACATACATACACTTATAAAGTAATACAATGAACCGTATCTATTTATCTAAATTAAAACAATTATCATTAGTGGGCACATATTTGATTTGTTTTAAGCCATTCTTTAAGTTGATTTTTAAAACAGGGGAAGGTCGGGCTTTCTCTCACAGCAACCGGTAATTTGTTCCAGATCTCTGTCCCCTTAATTGATAGTACATATTGTCCGAAAGCTGTACGTCTGTGAGGCACCACGCAATCACCTCTCGTGCAGGCCCTGGTTACACTTCTGCCTCCATCCGTAGTTTTCACTTTAATGTAGTCACTTAGTGGGGTTGGGGCTAGACCATGTAAGGTCTTATATATAGCACAGGCGTATTTGAGCTTTAAGAAATTTGCAAAGCTTAGTAGGTTATATTTTTGTAAAATTAAGCAGTGATGATATGAGAGTGGTTTCCGGTCTAAAATTTTTAGGGCTTGTTTGAAAAGTGACTCCGTTTTTTTGAGTATTGTGGCGTTTGTAAGTGACCAGTTTGTAAAACCATATTCCAGATGAGAAAGGATCATACAGTGAAGAAACATTCTGGCCGCTTTATATGACAGGGATGGTCTAATGAATCTAAAGTTAGCAAGATTAAATTTAACGGTTTTTGACAAGCTTTTTATATGATTTTTAAAAGACAGTGTTGGATCTAGTACAATGCCAAGGTATTTAAATTCGTTTACTAACTGTAGTTCTTCTTGGTTTAAAAATATATTTGAGCGAGTTACTTCAATGAGCCGCTTTGAGAATATCATACAGACAGTTTTTTTAGGGTTCAGTAGTAAACATGATTCAATGAGCCACTCCTGTACACGGCTCAATGCATATGTAAGTGACTGAGAGGCTTCTTGAATAGTTTTTGCTTGTGTAAAAATTACTGCGTCATCTGCATACATTAAAATATTGATATTTTGGCATACAGTAGGCAGGTCGTTAATGTATAAAGAAAAAAGAAGAGGGGCAAGTATGGAGCCTTGTGGAACCCCTACTGGACATTCTAAATACGGAGATTTAAAGTTGTCAATAGAGACACAGTGTATTCTATTGGCCAGGTACGAATTCATCCAGCTGATGGCTTGTTCAGAGAAATTGAAATGAGTTAATCTAGATAGGAGCATCTGATGATTTACAGAATCGAATGCCCTTTTCATATCTAGAAAAACAGCACCAACAACAGGATGAGTATCTAATGAATGTTTGACCTTTTCCATAAAAACATTAACAGCTGTTTCAGTTGAATGATGAGCACGAAAACCAAACTGCATTGGATGCAGAGGGGAGCCGCATATATTTAGATGTTTTATTAATTGTTTTGCTATCCATTTTTCAATAATTTTTGATATAACTGGCAGGATACTAATTGGTCTATAATTATTTATATCTAATCTACTCCCTGATTTAAAAATTGGTGAGATTGTGGCCATCTTCCAGTCTGGAGGAACAGCAGATTGTTTGATTGATAAATTAATCATATGCGTAATAGGGCATACTAACGACTCCTTATGTAGTTTAAAAAAATGAGTGTCCAATCCAAACTGATCCTTGGCTTTGGAATTATTTAACTCATCAATGATGGATGACACATCTGGTTCCGTGATTTCTTTTATCCTAAATATAGGTTGTGAGTGGTTTACAGGAGAAGAGACACATTTAGGTGTAATGAATAATTGAGATATTTCTTGGACAGAATTTTTAAAAAATGAATTAAACTCAGACGCTAGAGTGAGTGGATCTTTCACCACTACATTATTAATTTTAAGTTCAGTTAATTTATCTTGTTTATTCTTTTTGCCAGTTAGTTTATTAATGCTAAACTGGCAAACCTGATGGAGCGGGTTCAGGCCATACTAAATGTGCAGGACCGCTTTTGGACAGGACAAAGCTCTGAGGACATCAGAAGTTACAGGGACTGATGGCAGCTGTACACAGTACACAGGCTACACCGTAATTTCAATTTTAATGGACAGTAAAACAAAGGTAGAACACCATACAATCTGATAGGTAACATTATTTGACAGAACACCAGCACAGTAACTTCATATTGACGCGCGGCTAAACAAAGGCAGAGTGCCGTAACTCAATTTGAGCGTTCCAAAACAAAGCCAAAGAGCCGTAACTGGTGTTACGGTGTTCTGCCTTGGTTTCTCATGGGCTTTTGGAAGTTACTGATAAGACAACCCATTATTTTCTCAAAAAAAAAGAAAAAAAAGACTCAAGATACTTATCCACATGATAAAGGAGGTCTTAAATGTGCCAAAAATATAACTAACTCATTTTCGAACAAAGACGAAGTTACGGTCTTTTGCCTTTGCGCGGCAGTATATAACAATGATAAGTTTTCTCTTGATAAAGGTATCCAAAAAGCTGCTCACCTGTCTAATAAAACATAATATATTAAAGCGTCTTTGGTGTTTCCATGGTTTCTATGGAAGTAAAACCGGAAAAGGAGGGTAATGTGGATATGACGTCATTGATAGACGACGCAATGATACTGGTCATTACACACATACTTACTGTGCGTTCACACCAGACGCGAATAGCGCGTCAAATTTGCGCCTACCGCATCTAGTTATACGCTTGAACACTTTGAATCCATTCGCGCGTCAAGAGCGAAATTGACGCGAGTAAAAAACAAAAGTTTGAAGCGAAATTTACGCGCGTCGGAATCGAAACCCGTTGGCGGCCATCTTTTTTATGTTGATCGAGCATTCATCGAGAGAGTCACCGCTCTGTATTTGCTCTGGAGAGCAGAACGGCAGCTTAGGGGTCATCGTCGCCGTATTTGTGTCCACCAGACCCTTCTGAGGTGAACCCAGTTTGGCGAGTTTCACCATTTGCTCTCTCCAGGAGCTGCGCCTGGATGACGGCCGCTTTCAGCGGTACTTCCGCCTGTCCCGTGCCCAGTTTGATGACCTGTTGTCCTGCATCGGAGCGAGGATCACCCTTGCCCTCATCCACCTAATCTGTCATTTATTTTTGTTTTGATGATAAATGGAGCCACCCTCCAAAAGTGATTAACCTGTCCTGTGATTTTTTCTCTCTCACACAACACTGTCCAGACACGAACTTATGCACTATAGTATGTTGGTTGTCTTTACATTATAATAATATTTCATATAATCTAGATATGGACTAAATAGCATTCAATACAAAATGAATATGTCTCATATATTGAAATCAAGTTTTATGTGATAAAATATTTGCTTTGTTGTGCATTAGAACCACACCAGGCATTTAGTCATATTAAAAAATAATTTATTGAAGCATCCAGAAACTTCACCACGTGACAGCAGCAAGCAGCTAGGCTCCTGATTGGTTAACGCGGTGCGAATTGACGCCAAAGTTCAGATTTTTTCCACTCGGGAGGCAGACGCGAATTCGCTTCAAACGCGTGAATGCACAAAAAGCACTTAATAAAATCATTTGCGCGAACTTGACACACGAATGAGGCGTATTCGCGTCTACCGCACCGCGCTCTACGCCTCATTCGCGCCGCAGGAATTTTTTACGGGCGTAACGCGTCTTTGCATTGACTTAACATTGAAATCACTCGCGCCAGACACTCTATTCGCGTCTGGTGTGAACGCACCATTAGAGACATATGGGATAATGCAGGTACAAAAGTCAACAAAATATATAACACTGTTCTAATGTTTTGGGATATTTCAATACAAAAATTGTACATATTGTGCCTTTAAGACTTAAGGACCCACAGCGACCCTGAATGAACCGCTCAATAAAGCCTACAATAATCTCCATGAAAATCACAGAAGAATGATAAAAAAAAACAGAAAGTGTGTGATCACCTGCAGAGTATAGATTTCTTCATCACTGCTGGCGCTCAGCTTGGCCTTCTTACTGCCCTCAGGCCTGGATGTAGATGAAGAGGATTCTTTCATCAAACCTGCCAGATCAGATTTACATTACTATAACATTCTGAAGAAATATATACTTTTATTCAGCGGTCTAGGTGCAATCTGACTGAATTGCATTCGTATACACACGCAAACGTACTTCGTTTGGTGGTAGAGGGGGTCTTGCTCACGGTTTTGGACTCCTGGTCTTTCCTGAAGTTGCTCTCTTCAGTTTTCCTGTCTCTGCCTGGGCACGCACAGACACGCACCTCGAAGGATCTGCGGCCCAGCATCTGACCGCTGAAGGACAAGAGTAAAACAGATTTGATGATCCTTTGTGTTAGGGGTGGGCGATATTGCAAAAATATCTTATCACGTTTTTTTCCAGGAAAATGACGATTTTAATCACGATACTTTTTCATGTTGGTTTTACTATTTTGTAAATTATTTACTCTCTCAAGTTGTTTTAAACTCAAATAAGTTATTTTCAACAGAAGAAAGAAAAGTTTATTTTGAAAAATGTGGCTATCCAAACAGTTGCTGGTCCCCAGTGACTTCCATAGTATATTTTTTCCTACTATGGAAGTCAATGGAGACCAGCAAATGTTTGGATAGCCACATTCTTCAAAATATCTTCTTTTGTGTTCAGCACAAGAAATTAAAACAACATTAGAGTGAGTAAATAATGACAGAATTTTCATTTTTGGGTGAACTATTCCTTAAGCGGCAGCATGTTTACTATTAGGCGACATTTTAATCGTCCACTATCAAGTATCAACAAATCGTGATATCGCTCGGACACCCCTAGTTCACATAGGAATGCAATTCACTAAGAGAGGAATAGAACATGCACTACTTACTCCTGAGTCTCCAGAGTGACGATTGTGAGGATGGGCCGGCGGTTCATGCCACCCATGCAGCTACTATTGCACATGTAATTATACAGAATTGTGATGAACTCTGCTCCCAGCTGCAAAAAAACAAACAAAAAACATGACGTTATAAACTCACAGGTGTGTTGCGGCCAAACAATACATGTTGAATGAAAATGAAAATTGTCATCTACTTAACCTCATTGTTCATTGTAAATCTTGCCATCTAAAGACATTACAGATTCAAATATTGAGACTGACCTGAGGAGCTTCATAGGGCACCACTACACTGTGCCTGGAGGTGATGTCATCTTCCTTATAATGAGCACGCAAGTTTCCTTCCACTCGGATCAGGTGAGCAGGAGGAGCCAATCCTGAACAGAGAGTACACAGAGATTAATGGCTTTTAGTAGATCAGGTGAGAGAGCTTAAAGCTGGTATTTTCTTGTACAATAGTGTGAGAAAGATAACATCATACCATCAGTATCAAGTGTTCTCTCGTGGTGGGGGCAACGCCGGACCACCTCAGCCACATGTTCAGACTTTTTATAAATGGCTGTGGCTCTGAGCACCGACCCTTGGGGAGGGGCAACTTCCACCACCATCTGAACTGGACACGTTTTCGCCAACTGGCAAAAGAGCTTGTTCAGGTCTGGGGAGTACTGCAATCAGAAAAAAAGAAGAGATCATTATGAGATTCATATAAATTAAAGTTACACATTGGAAAAATATTAGTACATAGTAGTAATTAGTATTAGTAATCACACAAGTTAACAGAACATTCAGAACATTTGTTACAATTCATGAGAATGTTTATTGAAATTAGGAATGGGTTAAGATGGCAGACTAGCTGTCCAACTATTGACTACTAGTTGATTAGTTTGGCCGACTACTTTTTCTAGATCTTTTATCTTAGCAGTGGTGCATTAAAGTGAATGTTTCAAAGAGAGGATTTAATGGGCTGACAGTGTCCTTGCTAACAATAATTATCAGCACAGCAAAACCTTCGTTGGGATATTGCAACTCTAAATCTGTCCCTTTAATCCACCACCACTACAGTTGTGGCTAATTCACAGCCTTTAACAATAAACTTCAGTCTGACAGGCTGATTTTGAGAATATGTATGTCCTAATTGCTAATCAACACATTTAATATGCATTTGTGCTATGCCAGAAAAACTAAGTAAAAAATTAAATTGATCAAATTCAAGTCTATGTTTCAACTGACCAAAAGCCCCCCAAAATAGAAAGATTAGCAAGCATCAACAAAATACTCAAATGTCACAACAAAAGCTCACAGACCTTGAGAAAAAAACAACAACATCCAGACACAACTTAAATTGATAAATTTTAGATAAAAAATACATAATTTATCACATTTCCGTTTTTTTGGAATTTTATTTTCCTCTTACCCTTCCGATCATATGCTGTCTTGTAGTTTCTCACAGGATCTGAAACACACCAGTTTGACTATCTTTTCCTATAACAATAGGAATATATTCTACTCTCTGTCCTAAAACTGCACTATATAGGACACACTTCTCCCTCCAATGGTTAGGCTGGAAAATTTTGGATGCCAAACGTCCCTGCTCTGAGTCTTGTAGACTGCAGTTTCTGCTTTGGTAGAACCAGACACACCCCTCCCCCACTGCTCTATGATGACAAGTTCAGACATGTTCAATCTCTACAGATACCACTACTTACTAAAATAACATTGCTATATATATATATATATATATATAAAGAAAGAAAGAAAGAAAGAAAGAAAGGCACAAAGACAAAAAATATGAAATTAACAAGGAGATTTCACTCATATAGAACTAAATAAAATATAACTACTGTCAGATTCAATAATGTTAGATGACTAAACAAAGAGACTAAATAAGCTAGACATATGACTCATTACTAACATAAATGGAAGTGTACACTTATGAGAAGGTGAAAGAGCTTCTTTGACTGACGGCGAATGCGGTCATCTTATCTTTTGTCCAGCAGCCATCTTAGAGCAACACCTCTTTCTACAAACTGGATGCATGGTCACAAGAGTGTGTATTAAACTGTATTTTTTAAATGCACAGGCAAATGACCTAAGCTCTAGCTTGTTTCCTAGTCTGGCTTTCTAATAAACCTGACTTTGTACACTATGAATGTTCTTGGCACTTGAATTGGATGAATTGCTTATGTTCCTCTATTGTAAGTTTATTTGGATAAAAGCATCTGCAAAATGCATAAATGTAAGCCAACCACACATCCATTTTATATATATATATATATATATATATATATATATATATATATATATATATATATATATATATATATATATATATATATATATATATATATACACACATTTCTTGTAACTATATGCAGTTTTAATTTACATACTAGCCTTTATCAATTCACCAAATCGTAGGGTTGCACTACTACATACAAGCATATAGGCTAAATAGTCTTGCTGAAAGAGTAAGGACATGAAAGGTCTGAATTGAACCAAATAAAGTGCAAAAGAAGAAAGAGGAAAAAATATATGGTGGGGGGTGGGTGGCAGTGGGGCGGCACTTTTTTTTTTTTTTAACCCCAGCGCTACCGGAGAAGTTTTTGTTGCTCCACATGAGAACATGCCCATTCATGTCTTCAGACAATGGCATAAGAAATTGCCAAATTCAATTTCTTATTTGCCCACTCCAGATGTTAGATCGACAAGCCGAATGACTACAACAGCTATCTCTGAACTCAAGTGGCGAATACACAAAAGAGGGGAGGTCGGGATTGTTTTACCCAGGACAGGAATGAAGGTGATGAAGAATGAATGAAGTCTTGTGGTATCCTGGCAACATTCCGATTCAATGGTCACACCAGAAAGAACAATTTGAGTCTCTACCTCAGGTACATGTGCATCCGTGTTCACACTTAAGATACAATCTACTGCATACTAGTTACTTTACTATTATGTTGTCACTAAAAATTGTAGTGTAATCTATACAATATATATATATATATATATATAAATCACTAACATTTGTCACTGAACCCTACTTTATTTCAGATTAATCTAAACCCAAACAGAATATGAACAACTAATGGCAATCGGAAACTAACAGATTGATTTTTCATTTATTTAGGATGCTAGTGTATAGTGCATGCATAATGTGAGATTAGAGGAATTATATGGGTGAAAGTACACTAAAATGTCACATTGATTTTATGTAAGTTTAGTACAGTATGTGTGGATGTATGTGTGCGCATGTATTTTTAACTTACCGTGCAGGTGACAGACTTGGCTGTGCCTGATTGCGGGAACTGCAGTTTAAACCCATGGTCGCCAGGATAATCGGTGGCAACTGGGACAGTGGAGGTCGGTGGGGAGGTGGACGGCTGAGGCGGTTCAGTCAGCAAGTTAAAAAAACTTGGGTCGAACGAACTTGGAAGGTACTACGGACAAACACATAAGACAAAAGAGTTCAGCATTAAAAATCAGTTGTGAATATTAGAGTGTGTGCGTGTGTATAAGTGCCATTAAAAGAAAATAACCTCATCATTGATGTCCCAACAAGGGCCACCTTCTGGAGCTGAACTGAGACACAAATTGGGAGAAAGAGAGAGAGAGTTAGATTATCATTAAACTAAAAAAGCACACACACAACAGAGTACTGATTACCAATACAAGTTTAATGGATGCAAGCAAAAATAAACGCCAAAATTCCTTTAATGACCCACAAATTATGACAAAAAGCTGACATAATATTGCCTGCTCCCATATAAAACTGATGAAATGACCAGCACCAAGTCTCAGGAGTGTGATCCTTCCTTGCAAACTTACATGAGGTTCCGCTCCCAGAGGTCAGCAAACTCTTGACTCTCGGGATTTTCTGCCATGTCCTGTTTCAGATTCGCAAAACTACAGACAAAATAGAAAACTTTCAGTCCTCTGAACACTTGAGGCGAAATATTACGATAATACAACACCTCACGTTCGCTCTCAATTTAAAGACGCGATGTTGTCTCTGCGAAGAGCGTTACCGTCCAAAATCAAGTTTGTAATTCACCGCGAGGAGTTTGATCGAATGACAGCTTGGTATAAACGTTAATAGTAGCGATCGCCAAGTCGCGAAGATACCGCTTAGCTAAGTAAGTTAGCTAATTTGTTTCACAGGCTAATCGCACATTTGTAGATCTCGTTAAAGTAAAGCAAAACGTTTGTCTAGACATACAAGACACATTATTTAAAACAACAACAACAACAACAACATTAATTTATAAAAGTGAAGAGCGATTTTCCCATTTTTATCAGCTAACGTTAACCCACTCCGCGGTTAGCACTGACGTTTCAATAACGTTTAAAGCGCAGTCGGGCCTGTGAGTTTCCGCTTATGTTAATTCATTAGTTGTTGTATTCTAAAATTGTAAAGCTTATCACATCGACGGCAGCTCGTCAAAATAACACATTTTTAACACATTAAATAATTTTGTACTTCTAACCCCGAATTTAAAGCGGGAAAACATTTCCAAATCAAACAAACAAATGCATGTTCTTATGTTCCTAGGAATCAGCACAACTGTCTCTCTATTACCTTGCGACAATGTACTTTGCTGACCTCTTCTCCCAAAACGGTTATCTCGTTGCTCTTGCTGCGTTGATGTTTCGAGTGACTCACCCCAACGGCCAAAACAGCACAACAACAAAAAAATGGGTTTCTTGCAAACCCAAAGCAAAATCCACGCGTGGAGTTTGTGGGGATTCCCCGACAGGAGGAGTCTGTCTACGTCAGCGTCACCTGACTGACTACGGACTCACAACCATAAGTAAAAGCTCACAACGAATTAAACGAGAGAAAAAAATACAGCAGGAAATAAACGAGTTTAATAGACAACTCGACATTACGTATCCATTTTTTTCTTTTAAATAAAAAAAACATCTGCCATGTTTGCGAAAATCGATCATGTTATTTCAAAAGGCGTGGAATCTGCTCAATGAGGAAGTTGTTAGAAATGTCTTGTCCTTTATTTTTCTGCGTTGGGTCGCGCGAGCGAGCTTGACAGTACAAATATTTGATTTTATTTCTAAACTCTTTTACATATTATATTGGACATCATTTGGCATTGTATTGCGCAAAACTCACCTATCAATTTCTAGGCAAAGAAATAAGTTGTTAAGATTAAGATTGATAATACAGAGGGATCCGAGACACATGGTCATTCAATTTTATTAGGTTTGAAAACTCAAAGCGCGAATCTCCAGGACATGGCATGGCAGAAAAACATCTGAATCCATCTGACTGAGGTAGCTACTAATAAAAGTCACTTTTTTTTGCTTACATATAATGTTCTCTATGTCTGCAGAAATTTCACCAAAAACGAGCTTCAGAGGCCTACCAAAATAACTTCACCCACATCACAGCCACAGAATTTCTGTGATTCCTACCCGTGAGTTATAAAAATCATACATGAAACTCCTGACATGTCAGTTGAGTCCCCACATCACTTACATAATGGAAAAAAGGTCTTTCATGATTGAATCATCACTCAGAATGAAAGTGGTGTTATGATGAGTAACGTTTCAGAAATATTATTATTTATTGTCATACGTCACTCACACACACACATATATATATATATATATATATATACACACACATACATACAATATGTTTGCATTTATGAGGAAATGTTATGAGGAACAAATGATTGTAGCTTAGAGGCAGTTATTGGTCTACAACAGAAACTGATCAGCCAGTGGTGCTTCATAATAAAAGTCAACATTAACACCAGCCTCACATTTTGTGCTTTTATAACCTAGAGAAGAAATTAAACCATCAGAAAAAGTTAGCTTAGACGTGTCATTTAAAATGTATACTTATATTTCCATATGAAACAGGCTTCTGCGTCTCCACAGGGTTCTCAGCCACAATGCAAATTACTTTTAGAATGTATCAAAATAATCAAATATTTTTGACACAAAACCAATAATTTTGATATTATGAGTCATTCATAATGAATGTGATTTATTTTTTAAATATTTGTGTGATTGGTATTGAAATAAAAAAGTAGTAGAAACAAAAGTAGAATCCCACACTTACTGTATATGTTGTATTGCATAGTCAACATGACTATGTTCAGTGTTAAAAATCTTATATTTCTTGGGCAATATTGTGTTTTAGACCAGAGACAATTTACTTTGCTTTTGTAATACAGGTCCTTCTCAAAAAATGAGCATATTGTGATAAAGTTAATTATTTTCCATAATGTAATGATAAAAATTAAACTTTCATATATTTTAGATTCATTGCACACCAACTGAAATTTTTCAGGTCTTTTATTGTTTTAATACTGATGATTTTGGCATACAGCTCATGAAAACCCAAAATTCCTATCTCAAAAAATTAGCATATCATGAAAAGGGTCTCTAAACGAGCTATTAACCTAATCATCTGAATCAACTAATTAACTCTAAACACCTGCAAAAGATTCCTGAGGCTTTTAAAAACTCCCAGCCTGTTTCATTAGTCAAAACCGCAATCATGGGTAAGACTGCTGTCCAGAAGGCCATCATTGACACCCTCAAGCAAGACGGTAAGACACAGAAAGAAATTTCTGAACAAATAGTCTGTTCCCAGAGTGCTGTATCAAGGCACCTCAGTGGGAAGTCTGTGGGAAGAAAAAAGTGTGGCAAAAAACGCTGCACAACGAGAAGAGGTGACCGGACCCTGAGGAAGATTGTGGAGAAGGACCGATTCCAGACCTTGGGGGACCTGCGGAAGCAGTGGACTGAGTCTGGAGTAGAAACATCCAGAGCCACCGTGCACAGGCGTGTGCAGGAAATGGGCTACAGGTGCCGCATTCCCCAGGTCAAGCCACTTTTGAACCAGAAACAGCGGCAGAAGTGCCTGACCTGGGCTACAGAGAAGCAGCACTGGACTGTTGCTCAGTTTTGCATGTCATTCGGAAATCAAGGTGCCAGAGTCTGGAGGAAGACTGGGGAGAAGGAAATGCCAAAATGCCTGAAGTCCAGTGTCAAGTACCCACAGTCAGTGATGGTCTGGGGTGCCATGTCAGCTGCTGGTGTTGGTCCACTGTGTTTTATCAAGGGCGGTGTTGGTCCACTGTGTTTTATCAAGGGCAGGGTCAATGCAGCAAGCTATCAGGAGATTTTGGAGCACTTCATGCTTCCATCTGCTGAAAAGCTTTATGGAGATGATTTCATTTTTCAGCACGACCTGGCACCTGCTCACAGTGCCAAAACCACTGGTAAATGGTTTACTGACCATGGTATTACTGTGCTCAATTGGCCTGCCAACTCTCCTGACCTGAACCCCATAGAGAATCTGTGGGATATTGTGAAGAGAAAGTTGAGAGACGCAAGACCCAACACTCTGGATGAGCTTAAGGCCGCTATCGAAGCATCCTGGGCCTCCATAACACCTCAGCAGTGCCACAGGCTGATTGCCTCCATGCCACGCCGCATTGAAGCAGTCATTTCTGCAAAAGGATTTCCCGACCAAGTATTGAGTGCATAACTGAACATAATTATTTGAAGGTTGATTTTTTTTTTTTTTTTATTAAAAACACTTATTTTATTGGTCGGATGAAATATGCTAATTTTTTTAGATAGGAATTTTGGGTTTTCATGAGCTGTATGCCAAAATCATCAGTATTAAAACAATAAAAGACCTGAAATATTTCAGTTGGTGTGCAATGAATCTAAAATACATGAAAGTTTAATTTTTATCATTACATTATGGAAAATAATGAACTTTATCACAATATGCTAATTTTTTGAGAAGGACCTGTAGACCCATTACAGTAAAAAGGGATAATGAAACCTACAAACTAATTGTTTTTATTTGCTAATATATATATTTTTTTATTTAAATTATGAGCAATTCTTTATTATAAATACAAACTTTGCTTTTACATCACTTAGAAGATTTTTCAAACAGTTTTTACACATCTTCTTGTGCTGTAATTCATTTTTCTCCAAAAGGCCAAATTACAATGATCAATATTATTCACCTATTGTGGATAAACGCAAAAAAGAAATCATTAAAAGTATTGCCTTTTTCAAATAACTCAGAGAAGCGGAAGCTTAATGTTGTGCACGTGTGTTTGAAGGAACATTCTAGCACAGCTCTAAAAGCCACAGCTAGAAATCGCCTGATTTTGATGTCTCGAAATTTCTCCTTGTTAAAAGGAAAAATCGTATAATTATACAAAATTCACAACTTTGATGTTGTGTTCAAAATATTTAGTTTATTACCGTATGAGTGTCTTTCAATAAAGCAAATATAAAATTACCAGGAGGATACATTTTTGCTCAAACATGTGGTCACCTCTCTTACATTTTTGTCATCTCAATAGGCCATTTGCACTTTTTATAGACAAAAGACACTCTTTATAGATAAAAGACACTCAAGAAATATCATTGTGGAGAAAAGGAATAATTCTTTGTGTGAATATGTTGTGAGATGTTATTTCTAGCATATAGTCATTAATAGCATTGACTACGTTTTTTTCCACAGTATATGAAAAAAATAATTGTAGCTCATCAGTATTATTATTGTAAAGCATTCGATTTGCCAAACACGTCAGTATTAAACATATAAATCCAAAATTCAAATTCATAATTTTCATTTAAGGTTACAACAAATGATAAACCCCACGTCACATTAACATTTCCTCATTTTCTCTCCAAAAGTGTAATTCTGACACGCAGTTAACATGATAGCATAACATTTACCAATGAAAATCCTAAATGACTGAAAAAAAGAAACCTCATATTCTCATAATAATATGTTTAAATCGAAAGGAGACTAGAGGAAATATAAAAAACACTGCATATCTTCTGCATACTCTTAAAATGGCTGATGCATCACTGGATTACAGTCATTTTCCAAAATGCATATAAAATCATAAATGTATAACAAGTTGATATAAGTAATTGCTCAAAATCATATTTCGAAGATAATGCTGAGATTTAACTTCGCATTTACTCTCTCATATCATAGTTCCTATCAAGCACATGTCACTTAGCATTTAGCAACCAGGCACCTCTGCCCAAACCGAGGAGAATAATATTAAAAACAGGACGAAATGTATCCGAAATAGCATAAATACATTTAAAAGTGAACAATATTACAGTAGATTTGCTGATATATAAACAACTTTATGCAGAGCTTCTACAGGTCAGCTACCTTTTCACCCACCTGTTGTCAAAGTTTGGAGCTTCAGTCCTAGAACTCGGAATAAAATTCTCAAATCCCGAATATGAAGTCGAAGGATATGTAGGTTCCATCTCGCAAATTAATCACCGCTTAACGGAGCGTGAATATTGTTAATATTGATCAGTTTGAGCCAGAATGGCGGCTACATTAGTTTATGCAGTGAACTTGTCAAATAAGAAGCAAAAACGTCATGAAGGGGGGTCAAGGAACAACCAATAGTTTTTCGTACGCCTTTTTAAATATATGGATAGACCACATACCCTCGAGAATATGCGGGAATGTATTTTGACCCTATAGCATAAGTGACTACAACATTTCCACAACTAAATTTCAAAACACTGTCAAAATACGACATTGAGTAAAATGTAAAGACAAACATATATGGACTCAGATACTGTCACTTACTTGATTTATAGGAAGACAGAACTCGAAGAAAAAAAACACAAACAAACCATAACCATCGGTACCCAGTGATGCAGTGTATACGTTCCTGCCAAGAGCTGAAGAGTCAGACCCATTCATTGGTTACCACTGCACTTTCATT